CTTAGTTGTAGCATTAATTCTTGAAATACTTGATAACTGTGATATCGCTCACGTACGTGACGGAGACGGATTATGAAGGTAACCTAAAGGTGCTTATCTCTCCTTGTTCACAACACGCGGAGCAGGATGATGACAATTCTCTTAATGGAGCTGTGAAATAAAAATGGTTCTCCTGCGTCTGTCAGAGGGGGCTGGGGTAGGCAGGAGAAACGGATAGGCTTTTTCTCAAGAAGAATAAATCTCAGAACGTGCCCGAGTTCTGCAAGGAGGAGGTAGTGTATATATCTCCTGCCTAGAGGAAGAAAAGGTGCTAAGCACTATTTATGGTCACGGTGTATGGGGAAAATGTAATATTAGATAAATGGGATTTGAATTTGCAGGACAAGCAAGGCTACGAGAGCTGGGTTTGGTATGAGCAAAATGGTTGAAAGAACAGGCAAACTTCCAAAGCGTGTTTCTTCATTTGTGTTACAAAACTTAACGCAATTTTAATGTGTAGCAGAATTTAGAATCATAGAATCACAGAATCGTTGGGGTTGGAAAAGCCCTTTAAGCTCCCCCAGCCCAACCGTTCCCCTACCCCTGCCATCCCACCCCCAAACCCCGGCCCTCCGCACCGCCTCTGCCCCCCCAGGGCTGGGGACTCGACCCCTTCCCTGGGCAGCCCCTTCCAGCCCCTGACAGCCCCAAGGGGAAGGAATTGTTCCCCATGCCCAACCTCACCCTGCCCTGGCACAACTTGAGGCCGCTGCCCCTCGTCCCATCGCCCCTTCCCTGGGAGCAGAGCCCGACCCCCCCGGCTCCCCCCTCCTCTCAGGCAGTTGTAGGGAGCGATGAGGGCTCCCCTCAGCCTCCTCTGCTCCAGGCTGAACCCCCCCAGCTCCCCCAGCCGCTCCCCAGCAGCCTGGGGCTCCAGAACAATTTAGAATTTAGTTTGCATTTGTGTAGCTTTGCTTGCTCTTGTGATCTTCATCTTTCTTTAATCTCTTCTTCTGATTTGCATGCTGATATATGTATTCTCTGCCTCTTAAACAATTGCTTATTCCCTTCTCTGGACTTTTTTTCTTTGGGTTTTTGTGGGTTTTGAAACTGGGTAACATCCATTAGTCTTGATTTTTTAAAGGCTTCTGTTTCTTTCCTGGCATCTCTCCTTCCATTTTCTCTCCTCCTGTGTGTATGGCGAATATCATGTAATAAGGAGGGGAGATATTTACCAGTAATGACGAGCAGGGTGTTATGTAGAGCTCTGGGTCAGTGGATCTGGCCTGCTGAATAATGAGATTGGATGGGTAGATCAAAACATTCCTGAGTCACTAAATTAGAATTGCCGCTCGCAATGGAATCCGGGTGAGCAAACCCCCAGAAAGGCGTGCTGGGGACGGCAGGGAGCGCGCTCCGGAGGGTGCCGTGGTGCGGAATAGCCGGCACGGCTTTCTCCTGTACTTTGATCTTTATAAGAAGTAGTTTCCTCTGGAATTGATTTTGGTCTTGTTCAGTTATTTCCAGCTTTTTGCTGTCAGTGAAACTTTGTGCTGGCATAACTTGAGAGGCTGAAGAAAATCTTGCGCCTTGCATCCATATTAAGATAAAAAAATGACTTTTCTGTAATATTCCGAGTTCTGTGCTTAGCTAGGTATTGTGCGTGTGTGCTATAAAAAATTAAAGACTTCTCTTCTGATGGAGTTTTGACGAAGCTGGAATCTTGTACCTGAACTATTTGAAGCTTCTATGCCCACGTCATCGTATTTCCATTCACTTCATTACCTGCCAAATGCTGACTTTATCAGGATAGCTCACTTTATGAAAGGCAAGCAAGTATAATCAAATCTCCGAAGTACATTTGGGCTTTGCTTTCTTCCCCTGTTTCACTCACAGGTTTCCAGCTCTGTGCAGCCATAAACTGAGCATCCTGTAGCCATGTTTCACTTTGACTGTCAACAGTTCTGAAGCTTAGGGTGGGGGGGGGGGGGGGGGGGAAGTCACTGTGCATCTGCTAGCTAGAGATTGAAAGAGAAGATGTGCAATGACTAGAGGCAAAGCTGGTGGACTCGTCCATCTGAACACCTCTGTTCTAGCCCCAGACTCCTGAGAGCCTGGGCCACCGTTCTGGTCGCTAAACCCGCAGCTTTCCATAGATCCCTTACAAAATGTTATGTTGTTGATTACCTTGTAATGAAGGAAGCGGTGGGCAGGAAACTTGGAAGCTTTTATAGGTTCACAAAATAGGATGTTCTTCATCTGAGAGGTGGTCCGCCCTTTAATACTGCTCAAGGTGAAGGTGAACGTTTAAATTCTGCCTGTAGCTTGTGCACTCCCTGCCTTTCATTTTTCAGGAAGCCTTGACGGTGTCTGTCAAATGAGCTATGGACCCATCAGCAGTCAGCCGATTGTTTAGCTGTTGGTGGGTTCGTTTGTACTCATTTATGGATATGCTGCTAAGATCAGGCAGCTTCTTACAAATTACATAAACCAAATTCTGTGGTCAGTAATGCCACCAGCTTGCTGGGTGTATTCCCAACATCCCTGATTGCCACACCAAAGCCTTCAAGTCTGCGAAAGGCATACTTTTTAATTGAACGGGGAGTTTATTTCTCAAGTGCATTCAGAGCTTGTTCTCCGGAATCTGTTGAAAGGGTTTGGGTGATAATTAAGCGATGAATGGCTGGGTGAAGGCTGCTCTGAAGTCCCACTGATGAAGTTTATTGTTCGTTAATCTAATGCATAAGTGACTTTGTGATTAATGACATGAATTAGATGTAGCCTGTATCTGCTTAATCAGAAAGATATTTTAATCTGTTGCAATGATTTTTTTTTCCCTTAAATTTTTCCATAGCATCATCTAGCACTCCCTAGGTTCCTCTTGCCCATTCATTCTCTTATTTTCTCGTGACGGTGATCTGGAGCGATCCAACTTCACTGTGACACCTGAAAGACGGGGTTTGTGTTGCTGGATCATCTTGGGTTCTCTTCCTCCTTGTACCCCATCGTGAGACTTGTTTCTTCTTCGGGTTATCTGCCTCAGGACGAGGGAGGGTGAATAGGATAAAACTGAGGTTTTCTTGATTGGAAATTCATCCTGGCAAAAGGAGCTGGTGTTGCTCCACAGTTTAAGCACGTGCATTGATTTTGATGCCAGGTAGAGCGGCATTAGAAACGGCGTCGCCGCATTCAGCTACTCCCTGCACTTCCACGTCTCCTTCATCTCGGTGGCAGCGCCGTTAATAACTTGTGACGAAAGGTGCTGGGCAGACAATACTGTTCTTCTATTGAAATTCTAAAAAAATGACGTTTATTTGTCATGAACGCCACTAAACCTCTCTGGGCTGCCGCAGAGTCGTGCTGGGCTGCGGTTCGCCTTGCCCTGCGCCCGGGCTGCTCCCTCGCAGGGCGGCAGACCCGGCTGCCTGCCCGCTTCTCGTGTGCCGGAGCTCGTCGTCTGCTGGATAAGCTAAGCTTCTTTAGCAGGCTCCCTCTAACAGCATTACAGATTATCGAGACTTGAAAAACACACTTTGCTTGTTTTAAGCACAGATATTTCACAAATGCCTAAGTTGAAAAAGTCCGAAGAAGCAGATAATGGTCACTGGAGTTTCTGTGCGACTGGTATCTTTATTCCAGATAAGCGCGTGTCCTTCACGTGGTAAAAGGCTTGGGGAAAGAGGCTGAAGCTACAGATAAAAGCACAGAGCCCTTGAATCTATACTTTAAAACACTTGTAACTTACTTCGACAGCTAATCAATTCTAAAGATAAGTATTTACATTCTGGAGACTTGCTGTACTATAAAATATTTTGGACGGTAAAACCACTTGTGTTTTATTCTGGACTTTCACATCAGGGCGGCATTTGAGTGAAAGCATAATAAAAATGCTTAAATGCCACCTTTAAAATGTCTTCTCTGATGCCAGCCGATGGGTTCGTAGGAAGGTGCGTGGCTGTTAAACGCACCCGGACCGCAGCGTGCCCCCGCGTTCCCGGTGGCTTCAACACTTACCTGCTTGAAGTGAAAATTCTGTATAAGTATAGAAGGTTACATCTTTTTTTATTTCACTTGCGTCGTTAGAATGTTACAAAAGATGCTTCAAATAAAATAATGTGATTATAATTTTTGCAGTGAGCCCTCAATGTAAGAGTTAGCGAACAATTGATTTGCTTTTGTTTTGTCTTTAGGAGATTCAGTTTTAGAGGTGTGTGGAGGCTGTTACCACTTACCCTTAGAATATTCGAACTAGACACCAGGTAAGTACAGAATTTTTTGGTTTCTTGTAGCTACTCATTTACATGCAAAATAATGCTGGGGAAACAAAGTTCAAAGTTTCTTACAGAAATCTCTCAATACCTCATGAAGCCAAGCTTCCAACACCTTGTATTTTTCTTGATAATCCAAACCTGTATGTTTCTCTCCTCTCCCCTTTAAAAATGATATTTTTTCACCCCCAGAAAATACCAGATTGTGAGAACTACTCTAAACGAATGTGAGACAGATGGACAGGATGCGGAGGCCAGTGGTGCTGTTTAGTTTTTGTGATAAATCAATATTTACTAAAGTGTTTTCTGGCTTGGTGTTTTTATTTAGGCTTTTACTTAGTAAATACTGGTTGAGATAGAATAATTTAGTTTAAGGTTAACATCTGTAGTTAATTTTCTGCACTGGAAATCTTTGCTAGTAATCTTAAATCTAACTGACACTGTATTTTACCGCGTAGTCAGTAACCAGAAATGCTTTGTGGAACACAAATCTTTCCTAAAATACTCTAGTGCTTCCTAAAGTTGTGTAATAAAGCATCCACTAGACAGATTTTTTTGGTAAGAGCTGGCAAAACATCATTTCCAAGCCAGACTCTTTAATCGTCTGTTAATATGCTCTTACAACTGTAATTGCAGCGGGCTTGACAACGTTACCGACAGTTTGCGTTGACGACGCTCGCGGGGTTGGTGCCTCGGCGGTGTTGGGCCGTGCTGGGGCAGCAGCCTCGCCTCTGCTTCTCCTCTCCACTGCTTCCAGCACGGCTTTGAGTTTGTCCTTCTCATTCCTCTCGTTTCTTATTTGTCCCTTTGGGGGATTTCTCTGTTCTCTGTGTTACTGGTGATGCCTGGGAAGACTGGGAAGCTGTTTTGTTCTTGTTGCAACCAAAGCCCTTTGCAAACGTGCAGTTTGGGTAGAGAGTATTCATTAAAGGTTAGTGACCTTCCATTACCCGATGCCTAGTGGGTAAGTATCACTTACCATGTCAGGAGGTGATGGATTTTGTCCGTTACGGTGGGATTTCACTTTTTGGAACAACTGTGGACAGCCAGATTCCCTACCTTGAAGACAGACACTTCACTAAAATTGTTGTGAAGAGCACGCATTTAAAGGTCTGTGCACTGGCGTGTGCATTCTTGCTATGATTTTTTTTTTCCCTTCTTTTTTCAGTAACTTAAGCTTACAAATATACAGGTATTAAGAAAGTTAAAAATCTGGTGAAGACTATACCCCGACGTCGTGCTGTAGCAGTATTTTTAAAGTTAACACCGCTTGGTTTCCTCTGCCCCTGCTGCACAGCCACAACCCCTTTCAAAAGCCATCTTTCCTCCCGTGAGGAAATTCAAGGGAGCGGCTGCGTGGTGAGTGCTGTTGGGAGCATCTGCTCCCCGCGTGAGCCGTGCCATGCACGTTTTCTTGGAAAAGTTGATCCCCTCTCGCTGCCTCTTTCCAGTTAAATTCTTCGCGGCGTCTTGCGGCGGGGTCAGGTGAAGTTTTACTCCTCCCTCCCTGCTTCTGGCCACCGGATCTGCTGTCACCCTTTTTGGTGCTGGCATTCATGGGGATGTTCTGAGAGTATTAAATTCCCTAAGCTGGCAGAGAACTATTCATTTTCCTTGGCTGTAATAATAGTTTGCCATTTCAGTGAGATAAATACAACTTACAAAAGGCTCGGCAGACCTGGCAGAAAATAAAATATCCCTGGTTTCATGAAACTTGCTAGGATTCTTTTGGGAAGCTAGAAAGAACACGAGCCATTCTAAGGTTCAATTTACCATTCATGTATTTAAAATGGTACGGCTGGCTTCCACATATTAACCCATCGGGTTTAATCTAAGGCTTTTTGGTAAGGTGGTACCAATTATACCAACCTGGTCATGCTGAAACCAGTTGTATTTTCTGGTAAAGCTGACTACTGCAGGATATTCTGGTACGGGGATGGTTAAAAACCGTGCTGTTTAATCCAGGGGATTACCTTTCTTCAGAGCCTTCTGAGAGAAACCTCTTCAGGGCATCCTGCTCGGTTCGAACACGTGGCAGATGGCTTGTTGCTGCTGAATACACCACTTTTTAAAACTACAGAGCAGCTTTCAGTGCTGTGAATTAGAGCCACTTGTAACAACAGTAGGACAGATAATATCCCGGTTTATGAAGGACTCTGAACTTAAATAACTTGCACCTTCATTGTCTGTTTCGTATTTAAAAAGCCAGGGGTTGCGTTCCTAGTAATAATTCTCTTCTCTTCCCTTAACCCCCAAGCTTCCCAGATGAATTCCCATTACCACCTTGTCCTCTGCTCTTCTGCCAAGGCCAACGTGTCCATTTCATAGCAGTTTTGGAAAACAGACACCCCATTGCACCAGACTCCAGATACCCTGAACTGTTCAGATTGAAGCGATTAAAGATTTCGGCAGTGTGGAATTTCATTCCTACGCCTGTCCTTATTCTTGACAGGCAGCCTGATAGACATCGCCTGGATCAAATTGGGTTCATTTTTATTAAACAAATTGGCCCTAATTTAATGGTGGAGATTTTATTAAGCAGAACATCGTGTATACCTGTGATCTGCAGCGTCTGTGCACCGACCATCTGTGTTGGATTGAGTTTAAAAGCAAGCTCGTTACGCCTAAGTGGAGCTGCAGACTTTAAACAGCGCAGAGGTTCGGAATGCCCTCGCAGCTCCAGTGTCAAGCAATACCTTTGGTAAATTAACACGTGCAGTCTCAACCAGGGTGCTGGGTTTTTCCCCCCACCCCGACTTCAGCTGAATCCCACAGGTCCCTGGCAGAGAGCAGCAGTGGTCGATGCGCTCCCTTGGCTGGTGGCCGGCGCGGTAGGGCTGCAGGAGAGCGTCCTAGGGAGGGCTGCGAGGAAGCGGTGGCGGTCGGAGAGCGGGAGAAGCCGCGCGGGGAGCCAGGGCAGCGGTCGGAGCAGGCCTGTGCGATTAGCTAGATTACCAGATAGACGTCAGGATCATCGGTCTTTGACCTCGGCGGTGGGACCGCTCGGGTGGAGGGGGCTGGGAGCTCTGCGGCCAGATTGACCCGTAGCTGCGGATGAGGAAGGGCCTCTGCGTGGAGGGTTGTGCCTGGATGTGGGATTTCTTTCCTGATTTTTTTTTTTTTTTTTTCCCTTTCACTGAATCAGATCGTGTCCAGATAAGTGAGTCAGTTGTACTGTGGCTTGCAGCACTCAGTAATTTTCCTGTCATGCAGAAACCTTTTGGTAGCTGAACAGTATCCTTCAAAAGAAAATAAAATATTTTCTCTCCCTACCCACGCTTTCACCTTCCAGATTTGTAGTTTGAACTCTTAGCCAAAGCATTAGGGTTCAGACCTTTTATTAATAATAATTTATAGCTTCTTTATTAGGTAGCCTTTAAACTTACCAGAGCTGCCAATGACAACTTGGGAATTCTCATCTAATTTCCTTCTAGTTTAGCCGGTGTATTCCGGTCAAAGAAACCGGACGTAGTGCCCAGCGTTAAACTGATCTCGCGTTGGAGAGGCTGAATGCAGACGGGCAGGTAACGGTGGGCTCGGAGATGACCGAGAAAGCCATAATGTCTGTATCCGTGTCCTTGCCACCTGGTCATGCTTGTACAGGCGTGACCATACCCATGTGTTGGTACCAGCGGAACTGTGGGTTTTGTGAAGCGTATCGACGCTATGAGCTCATACCAAGAACAAGGCAGTGCAAGATGCGATGTCTGAGAGTATTCCTTTCGGGTAGCCTTTTAAAAGCTGAAGTTATTAACTTTGTTATGTAAGATAAAGGGTTAAATTGGAAAAGTCTGGTGCTTTAAATATCTTTTTCAAAGACTGCGTAATCTGGTGTAGGCTAACTGTAATGACATAATCCAAAAATAGCCAATAGTCTCCTCTTCGATGCTCATCCTTGCTGCAGTTCTTGCAGATAAAGAACAGCAAATGCTAATCTCCTCAGGATGTTGCAGGGCATAACCATATCTGTCCGTGGCGTGGCACGGGGTCTTCCACATCTGAATTCAGAGCAGGAGGTTAATTCATGTTCAAGTAGCATGATTTTAACTGTAACACACGTGAAATGTTTGATCCGTGACTTTTAAGTTATGAGAGGGGGCATCTCCTCCTCTCTTAAGTGGGCAGGATTCCCTCTTCCGTAGCACGGACCTAGTCAAATGGATTTTTGTCTAAGGGGCTCTGCTCGACCTGGTGCCGGTGATGAGATGGGAGGTTTTGGAGGGTGCAGGGAGGTTTTCTTTTTTTTTTTTAATGTAACAGAACATGTGCAACTGAAAATACAAATGAAATCGCTTACCCCTATGCAAGGGTGGTGCAAAAAGACAGCCTCAATGTCATAGCAACCTATCTTTATAGGTATTCTCACCAATCAGTTATCTAATATTAAGACTAAGGGAGAAGATGAAGTAGCTTTAGGGATATGTATGTAGTACGTACCCATAGCTATACCTCAGCTGTGGAGCTGGGGTCTTTGAAGGAAGAGCTGAGTGTACACAGTAGTGATTGTAGGGTGCCTGGCGGTGTGCTGAAAATGTAATAGTTATTCTCGCTGATAATTCACTGAGTTCTGTAACTTTCTAACTTCCGCGTACCTTAAGAGCCTTTTCAAAGCACATTTAAACCTTGTAAAAGATGAATTTTCACATGGGAACTCTGGTTTCAGGGCTGCTGTTATTAATGAGGTCCGAGTTCTTCTTTGTTTAAGCCTGTCTTCATCTCTTTTTTTTTTTTTTTTTTTTTTTTGGCAGGGGCTGGTTCTCTCTTCAGGTTAGTTCGAGATGGCGGACCAGAGGCAACGTTCGCTCTCTACCTCTGGAGAGTCGTTGTACCACGTGCTGGGGTTAGACAAGAATGCCACTTCAGATGATATCAAAAAGTCATACAGGTAAAGGTTCGAGTTTTACACCTGTTGCCCAATAGCACAAATAGTTTTAATTAACAGAAGGCATATTTATCTATCGGCTCGAGTTGGTTTATTTAAACCTTTTGCATAAAAAAACCCCAAAACCACATAAGAAAACCAGGTGAACACACAGTTGCTTCTTGCAAAAATTGGTGTAAAAACCTGCCTAGGCTTTGTATCTAAGTGCTGCTAAATTTTTACATCTCATCTCTAGGAAGTTAAATTCTCAAATATGCAGTAGCATTCTGGAAGGTCTTGAAAGTTGAACAGTTTTAAGACAGTGTGATCAGGGTTAAATTCATGTTACAGAGCCTTGTGTCTGGCTTACAGAGACTACAGATGTGCAGTATTGCCCTGTTGTCCATCATTGCCAGTTCTGGCACAGTGAGGTATAGATTAAAGATGCAAATAAGGAGGAAAACTGAATATGAACAGTGACTTTTTTCTAAAAAAAAATTCAAAATTTCTTATTCTATGTGGAATTACTATTTTTAAAAGATCCTTTTTTACTTTATTTCATTTCCTAGAGTTAGACACGTGAAACAGCTTCACATTGACCAAATACAACCAACCAACCAAAAAAAAAAGTCCTGTAACATCCTCCCTTTCCACATTCCCCCGAAATCTGCTTAACTGCAATTGCTTCTTCCCCTTAAGCAGGAGCTACGGTCTTGGAGACTATTTGACAAGTGGCAATGTATTTAACGTTACGCTAGGGGTCAGTAGTCATCTTTGCTTGAGGATGCTCCTTTTGGAAGTTGTTTTCTTTTAGTCTTGAACATTTGCCAAAACTTTTTCCCTTTCAGAGTTACATTTTAATACTGATGGCAACGATGTGGTGAAGGCTATGAAGAAACCGGGTCCACAGATTCTCAAAAATTAGTTGTGTCTTCCAGTTAAAGATTTTAGGAAGTTTGAATCTGTAATCTTCAAGCCTTAGCGACTGAAAAATAATTTTACCTTGCTGGGGCAAAACCAGCAATGTTTTTTTCCTTTGGAAGGGTGGCCCAGGTAGATCCTGGGGTGCAATGTAGTTGCTTCATGCTTACCTGAACCTTCATCTAATCCTGTTTCCTCTGCTGCTCTTTTACAAAAGGAGGACTGACCCCTCTTGTTGAACGCCCTTGGCTGGCCTGTGAGCTATGGGGTTTGTGTACCTGTAGGAAATGAAAGATATTTATCTATTGCAACCCAATAGTAGGGCTATAGCCCTTTCCAGGTTTATATAACGTCCCTCTAATTAGAAAAGCTGTGATTCTTCCAGTCCTCTCTGATGCTAGGGCATTAGCGGCAACCCTGGACGCTCTTTACACCAGCAGCATCATTTACAGTTTGAGTATTTCAAATGCACACTTGATTTATTGTTTGAACACTGTGATACCCTTGCATGCATGTCCAAATGTGTGCTGGCACAAATATTTATTGCATGTTTGTCTAAATATTTCCTCGCTGCAAAGTTGCCGTGTAAACATCTGCAGGTTTCTGGTGTATTTCTCAAATACGGGACTTTGCGGTAGCTTTCTGTAGGAGGACAAATGCCTTCTTTGGTGGAGGAGAACCGTTAGCATAGAGTTGAGTATCCTCTTTCTACTTGGGAGCACAAATGGCTCAAGCAGCAAACTAGCATGTTTTCTGTTCGTAAGGAGGCATTTGGCCAGTTATTTTTACCGATTTCTATAAATAGCCTGGCCCATGTCAAAACTAGCAAATTTATCTGATTATCTGATTATTCTTTTGTGTTTGTGCTATGTTCAGAGACCTCTGGGGACTGTAAACTCCTGTCATTTAGTTGTGAGAGATCTAGCATGATTAGGGGAGGTACGTTGTGATTTCCTGATATCTCGAAACTCTGAAGCTTTTTCTGTTCTCGCAAGCCTTGAACTGCAAAGTGCTTTGCTCCTGCACAGGAATTGGTGAATTAACCACAAGTGATTGTCTGTTCTATTTCTGTGTTCAGACACTGCAGATTAGCTGTGGCAGCTTGCTTTTATTTGTTCTTTGGTACTGCATCTTAGACTCGTGGTGTGTCTTTTTTCTGTTTGCTTGCTCTTTGCTTTAGCAGGAGCACAGCTTACCGGTGGAAGTTGCTGGAGCGGAGGGGTAAAGGCGAGTACTAATTTTCTTCAACATCTTTCTCTATTTCCATTGGATTTCTGAGGGTCAAATCCAGCAGTCTGAAATCAGTCCTGTGAACTAAGCTAGACAGTGCTGTAGCCTTTTTTTTCCCTTCATCTAAGGAAGAATCATCAGGGAAGTTGAATCACAGATGAAGGAAACCAACTGGAACTTGAAAGTCTCCCTTGAGTGACAAACTGTGGAATTAAAAAAAAAATAAAAAAAATCAAAAAAAATCAAAAAACAGGAACCCAAATTCCATATTTTAATCTATAATGATTTTTTTTTTCCTTTCTGCAGGAAACTTGCATTGAAATATCATCCTGATAAAAACCCTGATAATCCAGAGGCAGCGGAAAAATTTAAAGAGATCAATAATGCACACGCAATATTGACCGATGCCACAAAGCGAAACATTTATGATAAGTACGGTTCTCTGGGTCTGTACGTAGCAGAACAGTTTGGTGAAGAAAATGTGAACACGTACTTCGTGCTATCCAGCTGGTGGGCAAAGGTAAATGAAAATGCAAAGCGAAGTTACTCTGGATTGGTGTTTAAAACTCTTGAAGAGCTCCATTTGATAATTGTGCTTGGGTTTACTTTTGGAAATTGCTGAATTTCTGACACCTGGTAATTAACCTTCTCTTACTGTGTTGCAGTCCCTAGCTCAGAAGTATTTTTCTGTTATCTTTCAGTGATACGGGCCTAATAAGCAAGATGTTACTAAGAGAAGCTTGGACCCTTCCAGTGGGTTTGGGGGGGTATTCTCTTTGGTACCATCTACTAAAGGATTTTGCAAAATGAGTCCTGGCTGTGAGCTTGAGCTCCCACAGGAGATCCTGCTTACAAACTTCCTCAGAGGCTTCCCTGAACAAATGTCACTTCTTCAGCTCCTCTCTGATTTGAGAGACTCCAGGTTACTTGTGCACTTGCCCGTCCTTGCTTCTCGTGCAGCAGCGAGAGTACCACCAGGGTATCAAAGTTACGCTGCAAGCTCAGGTTTCCTCGCAAAAAGCCATCTGAAAGTATTGCGTGCATGCAGGAGATGTAACGATTATTGTACGGATGCCTTCTTGGAGTCTCCTGCCAGTACCTAGGAATTACTGTATTTGACTAGACTCAAATTATTTGGAAGCGTAATGTGCTTCTGTCTTTTTAAGTAATACTTTTTGAAATCGCCCCATTTACTCAAAAGCACAGACCCTGTATACGTTGCACATTACACATTTCTCATACTGAAATTGTCTGGGCTCTTGCATTTCCGAGTTCATGTGATTGCAGTTTGCTTTCACAGAAGGTAATAAGTGAAAGACAGTGTGACTATGAAACCAAAGTATGAAACCAGAACTGCACCAACGGACTTACTTAGCGACATGGTGTTCTTCAGAGTGCTTTATGGCTGATTAAAACCTTGTCCTAGTCTTGGCATTTCATGTCATGGGTTCATTTTTCTACCCTTTGCCAGCATTGTCTTCATCTCTCGATTCCCCTGCAGTAAGAGAATAGTTCTATCGCCGTGCCCATTTGCTATTTTTAAAATTATTTTTTTCAAACAGTTACACAGTGGGCTATATGAAAATTTTAATTTTGCCCGTGGTCACTGTGCTAAGCAGCTGGCAGGCTCAGCTAGCTTTGCGTTGCCTTGCTCATGTACCGGTAGTGTCTAACCTTGGCGCCCCAAATCTCGGTACGGTGAGCTTTGCAGCCATGCCTACAGCCTAGGCAGGTCAAAGTCCCTGCTGTAGGTACATCATGACCTGTGCGTTGGCTACTATCAAGCCTAAACTGTTGTACCTCTGGATTTTAATGTTTGTAGACCTGTATCTTCTTCCAGATGTAGCAGAATAGTCCACGTAAACCTAAATTGTAGGAATTCTTCAAGTAAATCAGGTTGGCGGTATTCACCTCAGTGAGAGGCTGAGAGCCATCGCCAGTTTTGCATGCATTTTTAAATATATCTTGGTGATGAAGTATAGAACTGTAGCCAGTAAGTTCTGTCTCTACATTGCTGTATTTTTTGATCTCTGGTTTCTATATCTGGGTCTCACATAGTCAGTGGTCACGGCATGGTAGGCACGGGTTATGAATATTTCTTTGTCTTCTGTCCTCTGCAGGCCTTGTTTGTGTTCTGTGGGCTCATCACAGGCTGCTATTGCTGCTGCTGTCTGTGCTGCTGCTGTAATTGTTGCTGTGGGAAGTGTAAACCCAAACCTCCCGAAGGTGAAGAGCAGGAATACTACGTCTCGCCAGAGGACTTGGAGGCACAGTTGCAGTCAGACGAAAGGGGTAGGTAAAAACAGGGTGAGATTTCCAGAATGACCCTCACTCTCTGAGCGAGTGCTCAACGTGCTGGTTAAGGAGCAGCGCTTGCTTTGCAGAGACCAGCCCAGGTCTTGGATTGTAGATGATGGTGAGGGAATACTTCAGGCGCAAGAGTTATGTGGGTAACGTTAACACTGGAGATGAGAGTTGCTGAAAACTCGTGGAGGGTCTTCATCGAAGTTGGGGTCGGCTTCAGAGCCGCAGGTCGCCATCATTTGGCTTCCTTCCCATGTCGCTGGAGTAACGTTACCAGGCAGACACGTGATTCCAGAAAAGGGGCTCTCTTACCCCAAAGGATGGGGGGTGCCAAGGCAGTTTTGTTAACGGCGTCAGGTGTGAAGGAAATGGGACTGCTACCCTAGTAGCTATGCCTCATGCTGTTCGTGAAGATACAACGCTATTTCTGTAGAATTAAGCTGATCATTTAAAAAATTGTAGAGCCTTGGCTGTGCTCCAATCGTGTTTTTAATGGGCATTGCTGAACAGTGGGCGAGGATCAGCTGCTCTTACGTGAAGAGGGAAATAGAATAAGTGTTCCACATGTGGACTTGAGTCGGATGGACTTGAGTTGGATGGTATTGCGTGCAGACTGGAAAACAGGGAGTTACCATCGTGCAGTGTAAAATTGTGTCACCGAAGTGTTGTAGGGAGATGTAACTTATGCCTACCAAAACACGCAACGCTGGGTTTTCCCCCTGGTGTGCTAAGCCTTTTGTCTCGTTTTTCAGAGGCCTCAGACGCACCGATCGTGATACAGCCAGCATCAGCCACAGAGACGACCCAACTCACAGCTGACTCTCACCCCAGCTACCACACCGATGGATTTAATTAAGTTAAGGAAATACTGTAATTAGAATGGATTAAAAAAAAAAACAAAACCATGGCCAACTCAACACTAGAATCATGAACATTAGAAGTAGAGAATGGGGAGGGGGAATAATTCTGCCACAGTGAGAAGGCAGCTTTCCACCTGCCGAAAATATTTTGTAATCCCTTCAGCCTTTTGTCACCTTTCAGTGTCGTATCTTGATGATACGTGAAGTGCTGTAGCATGCAGTATTTAAAGCAGTTTAGCTACGGTCTTATTTGTTTCTGGGTTTTGGGTTTGTTTTTTTTTCCCCCCCTCTGTTATTTTTATAGCATGTATGGAGTTACGTTACATGTCTGTGGTGTGATGTATTGAGTTGTCACGATGTCAGTGTGATGGAGACATTCTGCATTTTAAGCAGTGGTACTGGCCTAAAAATGAGATCTAAAAAGAAAAAGTTTCACAGAAGCCACCATTCTTCCATACAGCTGAGCTGTTGAAGACCCTTAAAAGTTCAGGATTTTCATTTGAGTGCAACAAACCAATTCTTTTATTCCTCCTCCTATTCCTCGTTGTTGTCTAAGCAAGTTTACAAAGCCAAGAACCAAAAAAAAGCCAGTCCTGCAGAGCTGGAATTCTCTTTAATGCTGGTTTTCAGCTTAAATAAATCTACCTTGAAACATAAGAAGGGAGAGTTTCCACTCATTGCACAGCAAATTGATGAACAGCTCTTCAAGTGAAGGGCGCTCTCCAGTGACAGTGTAGCCGCAAGCTGTAGTTTGTCACCAAACCTACTGTGAACGGGCTTGTTTGGTGGTGGCGCTGGGATTGTAACTTCTGGCACAATTCTGGTTTGGTTCGAGTTCAGTTGTTTTCCTGAAATGCTAGAGACCAAATAGTGCAGCTTTTTTTGGATGCATGAGAATCTTAAAGTGAAACTGGCTAATTGGTCTTCACTGAGCCAAGTGGGTAAACGCAGGCAGTAGGCAACAGGATAAATGTTTTAAAAAAAAATAAAATAAAATTGGTTTTTAAAAATTGTTCTAATAATCTGAGGTTCTAATAGACAAATGGGGTTTTACGTGTCTCTCTTGAAAGCTTTGATAATACACTAGCCCTTTAATTTTCTCATGACCATCTTTGTGGAGCACCTAACTGGCTCGGTCAGGACACCGTTGTGTTTCTCTTGTATAATTTGCACATTGTCTTGCATTTAGACTTGTTTACGCCGGTGTTTCTCTTGTCCTCAGAACAGCTATGGGGAGACCATTGAAAGGTTTCCTGTATATTTTGAAACCAAATCATGTTTGAATACCGTTCTAGAAACTGGTTTATTGAGATTTAACTGTTAAAAAAAAAAACCCCGGCGTTTGAGGCAGCTGCTGAATCGCTGGTGTGTTTTGTTGTTAACAATCTTGCTTTGGATGATAACGGATCTAGAACAGCGACCAGAGAGCCAAGGCACTTTGGGCGGTGAATTACAGCCTCTTTAATTTTGATCTTTGTGGTTTCATATCACAATGCCTCTACTGTCCTCTGTATCCCCCGTCTCCCCTTTTCATTTTTCACCTATTTCGGTCGAGAGGCTATTTACAGCCTTCCCCCCGGTGTTTGCTTTGAAGGTCTTTCGTGCTGCTCTGTCACAAGATCCAGGTGTTACTTTTGAACGGGGTGAAGCACTGTAAGAAAACCATCAGAAAACGAAGGTGACTCTCCTGCTGGCGAACCGTTCCGAATATATTTTTCACGTTACCTTTGCATGAGCTGAAAATGATGGAGCACATAAAAAATCGGACGTGAAACCGCGTTAAACGTGCTGGGTAGGAGAAAATGTCCTTAACGCGGGCGCAATGCTGAGCGAGGGATGTTTGCAAAACCAGGCTTCCCTGGAGCTGTTGGCACACGCCCGTGTTTGTGGCTGGCACGTGAGCTGGTTGCAAATAAGCATGCTTGTGATGCCAGGTCAGGCCCCAAAAACTCAATAAGAAACGTTACTTTTGATGAACTGGCTAGGGTTCAGCGGTCGTTCCTTCCTCGTCGATAATCCTTATAGACCTGAAACGTGGTGGTTCACTGGAAGATACTTTTAACTTCTTCTGTCTGGAAAACTCTCTCGGGTGGCCTTGAGGACAGTCGTGTCAGATCTGGCTTGAGGTCCTTATTTAATTAAAGTCTTTGCTTGACCCCTTGGAATGAAAAGTAATTTTTAGGCTTAAAAAAATGTCACATTGGCTGCCCTTGTAGATTCTGCCTAGAGCCCGTTCTCGATGTTGGATTGCACGCTGGGATATGCTTGAATATCTGCATTCCCCTAAAAACTCACTGGTTGAAATTGGCTTTGTCTGTGCAAATTATGTTCTGGGTAAAAAAACCAACCAAACAAAAAAACCCAGGGTTTTTTTGGCTTTGTAAATGAGCGTAGCTGGTCAGGGTGACTGGGCAGAATGAGGCAAAGGCTGTTTCCCTCTTGCTATGGTTTGTCACGCTCCGTGTTCATCTCGGTGGGGAACGCAAAGCCGATTTCGATGTTAATTTGGAATAATTTCTTAACCCCTCTGGGCTACGTCCACTCAACTAGAAAGGCTGGCGGGAGGTTGTGGCTCCGGGGAGGTGAGTAACGCACCTGGAGCTGCTCCGCGGGCTCCGGACGCCGGAACCGAAATCTGGGCAGCAAATGAGGATCGGAGGCGATAGCGTCACCCGTGTTTCGCGCTGCTTGGGAAGAGATGACGCCCGGGATGAATTTGCTGGTTTAGTTCTTCGCTTAGCGAGGCGTGGCTTTGAGAGAGGCTGCTGTCCTTTCAGCTCTGCCCGCGGGTGGTGTGCGAACAGTAAATCAGTCTGTCTGCCGGAACGGGCCGCAATGATGTGCTGGATGCTCCAAGGGAAACTACTCCGAGATCCCAGTTACAGGGAATGATTGGAAAACACAGGTTTAGATGAATATTCACGGGTTTTGAAACTCTTTTAAGCTTGCCCACGTTACTCTGTAACCTCTGAATTTAAGATGCTTGTGTACTAATGTAGTTCTTCTTGAACTATAGAAGAAAGTTGCCTAAACATTGCTGCTTTAAAACAAAACTTGTGTAATTGGAAGATAAGCAGGTTAATGCCCGCCTCGTTTTCTGCTCTCGTAGGTGAGGTACGAGAGTGTCCCGGGCTCTAACGTGGGCTGCACTTCGCAGTGGCCAAGCTGAATCCTAGCAAATGCAAAGTTGTGTTGGAGATAGCGGTGAAAAATCTGGTGCGGAAGATCGCTCAGGAGTTGGGGGCTTGGGCAGATGGAGCCGCAGCCTCCCCGCCGAGCTGCGACAGCGCAGCCTTGCGGGCGCTGCAGCCCCGTACCCCGCTTACGTGCAGGATGTTTCCTTCCAAAATCCAGCCCGAGCACTGTTGATCTCTGTTCAGCCTTTGCCAGAGTTCAAACTTGAGGTTTGATTTTTGGGGGGTTTTGTTGGCTGTTTTGATTTTTTTTTTTTTCTCGTTCTTGCAAGCTGTATCATTTTTTTTTTTACAAGTTGCCCGAGACCTCCGCTTCGGTAGCTTGGCCGCCTCCATCTCGCTCATCCAACAACCTCTTCAGCGCCCATTTTCTTAGCGCTCGTAGCTCCTCCTGACGAGGAGGGGTACCGGGGAGAATCCGATCGGGAGAGCTTCCGCCGGCTGGTGTTAAGGACTTGATTCCTGAGCTGCGTTGCGTGGAGAGCCGCCCATAGCTCCGGGTGAGTAGGGAGAGCGGCTGCCTCGCTGCGGAGAGCGCTCGGGTGCCTGCCCTCCCTCCTGGCCGCCGCCGAGGAGGAGGTGGTGCTGGACCTGCGGCGCCCCGTCCGCCCTGGGGACGGGGGGGGATCCCCAACGCACTGTAGTACAAGTTGCACACTTCACTTGAAGTGAACGAAGGGGCATTGCGCCCGTTAAATGCCAGTTGCATTTTTGTTAGTGATGTCTGTAGGAAACCCTTAAATATTTATCTGTATATAAATTTGTTTCTGTAAACCTCGGTGGCGTCTGGTAGGGTGTAGATTTCTGCCGATTCCACGCAGCGATGTTTTAGAGCCACGATACCTTTTTAGTCTTAATTTTAGATTTGTAATATTTTTTTTTTTTTTAAAACTGCTTTAGATATTAGTGCTCATAGCATTGGGAGAACGTGATGCCCTGCGAGGTTTGGGTGGGCGCAGCCTGCGGGGCTGAACGGAAGCAGCTGCCGAGGAGGAAGGCTCGAGGAGCGCGGTGCCGAGAAGCACCCGGTGCCGCAGGCGGGGGAGTGCAGTTCTCAAGCCCCTTCGTGTCAGCCTATAAACACCACAGGTGTAAGCAGGGCAGGAGCCCGACCGAGAAGATATTCCTGTCCCATCAACAGAGTGTTGTGCGGTGTAGAGGGACACCGGCGTGCTTTTGGGGGGGGGTTACAGCAGAGCATCTGTGCTGTACGTGCTCCGGGAGGAGAGCTGCCCGCTTTTCTCAACTGCTTGGTGCCCTTGGTCTGTCCGGTGCCCTTCGGTGTTCTCCCGATAGTTGAGGAAATGCCTCTGCGCTGCAGGTTTTCCTACCCGGTGCCACTGGATATTGGCGTCATGTTTAACAGGAGACTCTTGCAAGGTGGCCAGGGAGGCTTTTGCAGCCCCCACCTCGTGTTAATAATCCTGGATGCTGTTAAATACGCATTAATCTTCGAGCACTGAAACGTAACCCCCCCCCCAGTACCAAGTGTTCATAGTGTAAGGTCGGTATAAACTTAACACGCTTAATTATTTGATGCCGCTTCTCTGTATTATAGTGGAAATCATCTAGTTCGTAGTGTGTCATTGCACCAACAACTGCTTAACATACCTGGAAAGAAACGTAACCCATAGCTAACGAGGTGGCGGGAGATTTGTCGGTGTTCAAGTCCTGCAAGAGCCGTGGGTGCTTCGTGTCCTGCGCTGGGGGGCTTACGGGCTCTCTGGGACTCGGCGGGGCTGAAACTCCCGTGTCCTGCCCAGAAGACGCTTGCTTTGCGAGAGGAGACCGCGCGAGGGAAGCTGTCCGCCTTTGACGCTCGCACAAGCCAAACTCTCTAAATCTGGAAGACAAACCCTCATTTGGAAATGAGACGCCGACGTTACGTGCCCAGTTCATTTTGTTCAAAGGGTGTAGATGCTGGGAATTTCTGGGGGTTATTTATATATATATATATGTATATGTATAGAGGAAGCTCTTCTATAAAATGGCCATTCCTTCTCGAGTGCTGTCGTCGTCTCCGCTCCCTTTCCCCACAGCCAGCCGGCTGGGCGTGCTCTTGCGGTCTGCGAGCGGTTGCTTGTCATGCCCTTCCAAAAATTTGAACGATTTACTTGAATTCCGCGAGCGACCCCTTGTCCCCAGCCCCTGCGGCCGGAGCTGGGCTCTGCCCGCTCCAGCTTTCCTTTGGAGGAAGGGAAGCCCAGTGATGGCGAGGAGGGCAAGGGGCCGGCTCTGGAGTGACTTGGACTTGTGCGGGCTGGTACGTGGGGTGTTTTCAATGCGGTCGATGCGCTCGTGGCTAGAGGTGTGTCATCGAACCTGTGGGTTTGGGTTGTTTTCCTCAGTGTTCACCACGTTGTACTCTCCAAAGTGGGACTGGGTGAGCTCACGGAGCAAGGCCCAAACGTGCGCCGTAGGCTTTGGATTGCAGCGTCATGTGTGTGTATGTATGTATATATGCACATATGTATATATTTATACAACAGGCGTGCACCTGGTACTTGCTGCTGCTTTTTCTTTGGTGGTAAAAACGTGAAATTTGGCTCAAAGTAACTGCTGTGAGCTCTCAGCCAGGCAAGCGGGAGGTGTGGGTGTCGGGGGTCCAGCACCGCGCTTTCTCCTTCCAGCTGCAGGGAAAACAAAGCCCCAAGCAAACGAGATCCGTCGGGTTACACGGCCGGCTGAGGGGAGCGGTGGAAGGCTCCTGTGTATAAATAAAGGGGTGGCGCAAGCGGGAGAGCTGCGCTGTGTGAAAGGGAAAAGCGTTTTCCTCCTCCCTGGGCCTTCCCTCCTCGCTCCGCGGAGCTTCCGCTTGAACGACGAGGCCTCTTCGCGCGGTCCGCTCTGGCTTCTCCATTCCCCGTGCTTGCAGGTTGGATTCGTAAGGACTCGGGAGTGACTGCAAGGCATAAAACTGAAGCTGGGCGCTGACCTGCGCAAAGGCACGGCCCTCGCGGCCAGCGGACCCGTGGCTGGGGCCCGCGGCTGGCCCTCCTCCGGCCTTTTCCTTCCAGGGGCTGCTGCCTGGCGTGAAAACACCGGGGGTTCCCGCTTCACGGCCGAAACGGGGGGAGAGCGAGGGGATTCCCTTCCCGCTTTC